TAATATAGACCCACGAACCTAGTATAACTGTTGTACGTTGCTCTTAACGTACCTGAGTTTAAGATTTATACCGATTAAAAAGTAATATACATAGTTTTAGATTAATATGTAACGTACGTCAAGTTTAATATAAGAGTTTAATAAGTTAGATTGATTATAAAAAAAAAAAAAAGAATAATAAAATAAATAAAATAGTGCAAAGTAAAATGCAATAAAATTTTTGGGAGCAGATCAGAAAGCTCAGACATTTCGATATTAGACAGCTCAGATAATATATGCAAAATAAGCCATATGACTGCTCACAATTTGCAATTTAACGAATCAATAAGCAAATACCGAAACGAGCGTATCAAATAAAATAATGATAAAGATCCATCGACAAATAATAGAGTTAATAAATGGTATATGGTTAGATACAATCGTACTTCTTATTTTCAAAGTATTCTATCAACTTGTTAATAGAATTTCATCTGAATCATACAACTCTTCTAAATACTGATGACCTATTTCTACGAGGTATGGAATCCTTTCAAAATCATCCAATTTTATCGGGTCTTCAAATGAAACTTGCCATCGTTGATATCTATCTTTTAGCATCAAGTGCATTTGACGATCAACTTCATTTTCATCATTAGATAAAGTAAATTGATTTGATGCCCAAAAATTTTTATCTCTATAAAGAATTGGCTTTGAAGGATCTGGTATATAACTTCCTGTACCCAATGAAAGTATAAAAATCTTTTTGCTTTCTACATTATATCGAATAGCTTCATTGAAAGATGTCAATGCCGGATTATTGATATGCATACCTCCATCAATGAAAAGACTTTCATGCCTTATCTCATAGGGTGAAAAAAAAGTTGGTATAGACGTTGCAGCCATTAAAGCATCAATAAAAGTATCATTTTTTAATTCATCTTTACGAGCATCATTGCGTGTAAATAAATGAATTGCTGATGAATCAGCTTCATTTATTGCAGGAATAACCAGTTCAGTGAGTGCATGACTCAATTTCGTTTGTCCAAAATATTCCTCAAATAGGTTAGAGTGACCTTCGTTTATATACTTTGCTTTTGAATTCCATTCTTTATTCATGGTGAATAATTTTTTTGTATGATCTTGGTAGGTATTCAATAATTCTGAAGCCGAAAACTTTGGCTTAAAATCTGGATACTCATGGGACGGTGCAGATAGTCCAGCAGCAACGATACCACCAGTTGATGTTCCAGTTATCATATTAAATAGGTGGGAGATAGGTCTTCGGGTTCGATATTCTATTTCACTAAGCCATAATGTAGGTAGTATTCCACGTATGCCTCCTCAGTCAATAGAGAGGATATTATAAACAGGATTCTCATCGCTTCGAGAATTTAGGAAATAACCTTCTTCATATTTCATATCCACTTTTTTTCTTTTGTATTGGTTAATGCGATATTCACTCGAATTTTCAGCCCTTAGCTTTTTGAGGAATGATATTTGTTTGTCAGCTAATTCGTTTTTAGGATCTAATCTCAACGCTTCAATAATACATCCATTCGATTTTTCATAATTAACTTGCTTATAATAAGCAATGCTACGAAAGCGCCAATGCTCTGATGAGAAAGTTAAAAATGTGCTTGCGTTTACAAGTTCAATAACCCGAGTATATTTGGACTATTTTAATAAACATTTGGTATAACCAAGTGCAGAAACAAGATTTTCAGGATCTATTTCACGTGTATTCTCATAATTCTTTTGAGCACTATTCCAGTGACGTAAGCTGTTTAATTTATTAACTTTCCAATCTATTTCGGCCAAATGCTCAAAATAAATTGCCATATTTTTGTATATTTTTATTCTTTCTGATTGAGAAGATGTTTGTTCCAGCTGTTCATTCAAATAAACAATATATTTAGTATCTGCGTTTTTGAATGGAGTTGAATCAGTTGATTCTTCAGGAAATTCCTCAGGCATCTCTTCAGATGTTTCTTTACCATTAATAACCCATAGGAAATCTTTCAAGGTTTCTAAGCGCAATTTAGTAGTACCAATAAATTGATAATTACAGTATATTGACTTCCTGATTTCATTAATAGTTTTGACGGTTTGTTCAGTTGCTTCTGAACTAGGATTTAGCATGTCAAGAGTTGCAAAATTAATCCTTGCAATATTACGAATTTCTTCCAACCTTGAAACAAAGGGCATTTTCCGAGCATTTTCTGCATCTTCTGTGAAAGATTTATATTGTGTTTTCATGAAACCGCGGAAATAAAAATTTTGGGAAAAATGATATTCTTTTTTTCGCAATTCACGGATACGATAATCTAGCTTCTCAGAATCCTTCACAAGGTCTTCATCCAATACTCCATGAAAAACACTCTTTGCAAAAACTTTCAAATCATTTGCATTTTTTCCATCAATTTGTATTTTCTGACTTATCAAGACTTCTCCAATCGAATTTAATAAATAAGCAATACAGTCTGATTTAATATAATGCTCTCTACATATCTTGATTATTTTTGTAGGATCAATAACGCTTCCAGGTTTGTTTAACCTTAAGATACTGTCATCTGTTTTGTATTCCTCTGAAAGTAAATTAATAAATTCTTGATATTATCCCTTATCGTAAGCATCTAATGCGCCATTTATAATTTTAATGAGTTTCCTACAAGTTGGCTCATTCCAACAGTCCATGATAATCGCTATTAGTGGAGAAAGTGAACAAATGATATAATATAATGTTGATTCGATTAATGGAGATGATTTACATTGAATCAAACTACGATCTGGTTTAAGCATTAATTCAGAAATTATTTTTTCTATATCTTTATCAATTGAATGCTGATAACAAAGTTTACCGTAAAATGAATTCGTCTGTCCTACTTTTTCTAATTCTAATGTAATGTTATCAGATGTTTCGCTGGTATGACTATTACCTTTAACTTTTTCAAGTATTTTTTTTATTTCTATATAATCCTGAGGTGTCTGTGTTGAACATTTTATAAGGAACATACGAATTGCTGATAATGCCATGTTTTCTCGTAATTTTATTTGTTTTTTAATGTTTTTTTCATCAGCAAGTTTACAAGCTTCTCGGTATTCATCAAAGGCTAATTTTCCATTAGTTACACTGAAGCGTCTTAATTCTTCAGAAGTATATTTATTTATTTCTCTTTGATTTAATACTCCTAGTTTATTCCATTTTCCTTCGGCTGCATTACGGTAATCAATCGCAATTTTCCAAAGTTCAAATGCTTTTTCTTCATGGATTACATTTTCCAGGTCTGCCAACAAGCGCCTTTTAGATTTTAAAATGTGTTTAAATAATTCTTCACCTAGATTTTTATGTTCATCTTTAAGCGAAATTGGAGTATTATGATTACCCTTTTATCAGGATGAAAATATAAAGCAAGTTCTTTGTAATGTCTATTGATTCCTCCACTTGTAAACGAAATACACGTGACCCCGTTAATATCAACTTCGTTAATATCAACCTAAGCCAAAAACCAAATTTTATGAATTTTACATATCAAAATTCCCTCTTATATATCAACTTTAATATAAACCTCGTTAATATCACTATCAACATAATTTAAACAGGTTCAAATGGGTTGATATTAACGAGGGCCACCTGTATTGCTAAAAATGATTTCTGTTTTATTAGAAGAATTCAAAATATATCGCATAAAGGATATTCTTCTATCATAAGCAATGTCACTTGCTAATGCATTTAAACAAGTCAAAGAAGTAATCAATTTTTCCTTTGAATTAGTTTTTAAGGTCTTATTAATTAATTCCATATTGATAATATTTTCGACTGTTTGATTCAATAAAGCTTCGCAACTAATTATCATTTTATAGCTTTCAAATGTCTTGGGTGTTTCATATAAATGGTTGAAAATTTCTCGAATAAGTTTCAATAATGTCTTTTTTTTCTATGACTTCCTTAATTTCTTCTAATTTTTTTTCAACTTCTTGTGTGTATTTCCCCCCAGGATTAAAAACTTCATTGATGACCGTAGTTGATTTTAATTTTGCTTCGCATATATCTTCAGGTTCGAGATTTTTTACATTCTGTTCAAATCTTTTTGCTAAAGTTTTTTGTCTGCTAGAGCGTTCCACTTCACCAATAGTTTTTAAATAACTAGCATATTTTATGTGATAATTATATCTATAATATCCATGCTTTTCTATATTAGCTTCTTCTATTTCGTCAATTATCTCTCTTCCTTCCTTAAATTTTTGTTCAATATTTGCCCGATTTTGAATTTCATCTTGAAGTCTTATCTGATTTTCTATCTCTAAAAAAAAGGCATCAATTTTTTCATTTGAGGAGTCATGTCATGTGTTATCATTGTTAATATAGCAACGAAGTTCTTAAATGTTCACCGTAGCTTTTTTTTTATTTAGATACGATAAATTATATAGATAAAAAAAAACATGAAAAGATATTAATTTATTCACAAAAGGCCGTATTAAATAGAATTGGGATCTGTGTAGAAACCAGTTATTGCATGTACATAACTAACTTGAATGGCTTTGACATGACGCCCCGAGATAATGCGCATGGTTGAACCTTTAACTCACATATACTCAAAATTGTTATTGAGGCTTGCCTGATATTATAAAGTACTGCACAATTTTTCGACTGACTTGTGATAATAATAAAACAAGCGTTATTGATGTACTTTTATATTTGATGGCTTTGAAATTTTGCTATTTGAAATTTGATAATTAAAAATCTAAACTTTTGTACTACTTTGATAGAGCATTCCATTATGTCCAAAATAGTACATAAACGACATTCCATTGATTCTTATTTAGGGAGCTCTTATTGACCTTGTCTTTTTGGTTATTTTCTGCATAACTGAACAATACGCAAATACAGCATCTAACTTAAAATCTTGGTTGCTTTCATTCAAAATGTGAAATGGCATTTTTCTATGAAAATGCTGCAAAAAATGCAAGATAATAAATCTGATGAAGTTGTAATCCATGTTAGTGTTACAGTCCTATATCCAAATAATCCAAATTGATCCTTAATCTGGGTAAATTTGGTTATCCAGGTCAGAGATTTTTATATGAATTTGAATATTTAGGCTTACTTTCTTTTGATTAGCTAATTTATGTCACTAAAACGTGATCATTGACCAATTAAATCTGTGAAGAACATCAATTAAGGACGCAAAGGTGCGCCCAAGGGCTAGCTTTATACATAATCGGATGCGGATCTCCATCCCAAGTTAAATCTATAAGCACTCTAATTTTTACTTCATTACTTATAATATCAGCACACATGCACAAATACACTATGTAACTACTGAAGTTCTTTGATGTTTATCTAAAATGTGAACAATACAAATAAAAAATATCCAGAGAATTTAGGCATGTATATTAAGATTGTTCTGTATGATTGGTTTAAACCTTTAATATGTATAGATTATATTGATCGATATAGTTTGTTATGTTAACACTTTCTTTTAATTATTTAGCCACGTACTGTACACATGTATCAGGTATGCACATTCTACCAAAAATGAGCACTGTCATCGAGCTTTCAATTGTATATTGTACTGGACACCATTCCTAATAAATTAGATAGGCTGTGTCCGGTATAAAATGTCATTGAAAGTTTGGCGACAGGCTTTTACTTGACGGCACTTAATAGGATATAGATTATCATATCAGGTATTGTAAATACTAGGGATTGGAACTGTTTAACCGTTTAAAAATTGCATTATAGTTCCGGGCAGAATTATGTTAGTCGTGGGCCGGAATTATTTTAATGCCGGCCAAATTAAACGGTTAAACGATTAAACGATTAATAAAATTTTTAGGCGGTTCCAATCCCTAGTAAATACCACGTCATTAAAAACAAGCGTTCTATCATAATAAAATTCATTGCGTCTATCGCTATTAATATAAAATTAAGGTTTGATTCTTTTTTAAAAAAAATCATGTTCATGGGAGTTGGATTCGATAATTGAGTCCAAAAATTTTAGAAACAGAGTTTTCAGTAAGTGAAAAATGTATGGTTTACCAAAAATTTCGTTTATGCCACAGAGCCATCGCGTGATTAAAAGGTGGCAAATTTCAACGCAAAATCTACGGACAGGACAGTGTAGTCACGTGATATTGTTAAGAAGAAGTTTTCAAACCTTTAAATCGAAATACCTCGGTATCCATATGACCAAGTTCGGTGGAATTTTTTTTTGCTTGAATTCTATGTATCCATAGAATTCAAATAAAAAAAAAAACTCATTTGGTCAGGTAATGAATGGATTTACATTCGTTACCAAGTACCAAATTTCATCCCGTAATTAAATTTTATTTTATTTTATTTCTTTTATATAATTGTTTATTTTTATCCTATTTTATTACTAAATAGCTGCGCAACATTGTCACATGAAACCAGGAACAGAAGATCTAAGGCCACACAAAGTTGATTTTTCGGTTTGCATTACCCACGTTCCATTTTTTCAATTTTTCAAAAAAAATTTTTTTTTTTTTTTAGATCCCAATTATGCCAATTGTTCGATTTTGACATCTATTTTTTCTCGCTATTTTGATCCAGTATCACCTGATGGAGACCTTAATTTCCCGTAATTGTCCGATAGGACTGTCAGGAAAAATATGACTGCCGGCCCAATTTTTTGATTCCTTGTTGTGCAAATGTAACCTAAAATGTGATCATTATTCTATTTGCAGTAAATTGGATTTAAAAAAAAAATACAAAAAAAAAAATCCGTCCGTCCGTCCCTAATTTTGAAATTAACTTTGCGTGGCCATAACTATGTAGCAAACGAAAATCTAATAAGCATATAATATTTATTGAAAGTTTTTCAACATCTTGTGCATTGAATATTTCAAGAAGGATGCGAAAAATCAAAATCTCTATCGATAGACAAGTTGGCGTCTTATATATTTCACCAAATTCATCACAATCAAAAATATTCAAATAAAATATCGATAAGTATGAAATGAATGGCGTAAAGAATGATTTACTGCAAAAATAGTAATATTTATCGAAGAATGTCATAGAAAACAAACCGAATTGTAAAAAGAAATAAAATATTTTGAAATTCAAATTTATTCATGAATTAGATATGTGTTGTAAATTGCATTGATTATTGCTTTATATAATTGTTATATTGCAAAATAAAGTCTTAGTAAAAGGAAAAGAAAAGAAAATAAAAATTTGAAGCCATTTTCCAGACCTTCATCCGAACCCAACCTGGCACACATTTTCTGGGTGCCAAATAATGAGTATATTATGCACTGAGAACAAAATATTCAGAAAATATATCATATATTCTAGACTTTTAGCTGTAAATACTCATTTTAAAAGACTGGCATCAAAATTATTTAATAATTCTTCACTCTTTTCCCAAAATTTTTTAGCCAAATCTTCGTCTAATGCCTGATCGATTGGGGTTGTTTCTTTACAATCCTCAAAATACTTTCCACCTTCATCAGTGTCCGGGTCTAATGCAGGGTACATTACATTTATTGCACCAATATCAGGTGTGGTAGAGAACAACCTGATAAAAAACCAAAACGACAATTTTGCAGTAATTTTTGTTGGTATAATTCCTGGATGGCATGCTGTGGACGTGACGTCTAAATTTTTTTTTTTTTTTTTTGTAAAATTCAAAAAAAAAATTTGTCATTATAAGGAAAAATTTTAAAGATAATAATGAAAGGTAATTAACATTTATCACATATCAAAATTGATGAGATAACTTACTTGAATCTTTAAGGCGACGATTAAGTTCATTACTATATATAATATTCTAAAAATTTTATATATAAATTAAATCGTAAAAGAGTATACTATGCAAGATCTTGAATCTACCAATTGTTCACTAACCATTAACTTCGAGTTTGAATATAATTCAAGATAGCCAGTGTAAGATTTTTCACCATTAAGATTATCAAAATCAATTTTACCAAGTAATTGTCCTTTTGAAGTTGTGTGAATGATTTTACACTGAGATTCCTTTGTTGCCGAGTTTTTTATGGTCGGAAGCAGAAGGGAAGTCAGGAGAAAGTGAGAAAGATGATTAACCTTGTTTAAAACATTATTAAAAAATACTAAGAACTTGTTAAGCGAGTAAAAAGCGAATAGATTTAAAATAAAATTTACTTGGAATTGCTGTTCAAAATTATCTTTTGTTTTCTCCAATCCAATACAATAATAACCTATTTTTCATTTATAATTAAATACTAAAAAAGACAATAAAGTGCAGCTGATATTCGATTATACGTACCAGCATTATTCCATAAGTAGTGTAATTCTCCAACCTCTTTAATAAACTTACTAGCAAAATTCTTTACACTATGTAAATCCGCCAAATCCATATCCCATAATTCAATACATTCGCTATTTCCTTCATTAGATTCTTTGATATACTCAAGGAGAAGTTCACCTTTTTTTCTGTTACGAATTGGAAGTATTAAACGTTTTGGATTATACGATGAGATCATTCGAGTTAAACTTTTACCAATTCCTAAAATAAAAAAAAAAAGACAAAGAATGGTTATTAATATAATAATAATGAACTTTCGTTTTGATAAAAATACAAACCATCACTAGAACCGGTGATAATAACGACTTTATTTGACAAGTCAAAGGAATTAATGGTTGACTGACTTGAACCCATTTCAGTTTAAACAGATATCAATAAATTGAATAAAATTCAACAGCGATAAAATCTGGTTGTAAATACGTACTTACGAACAGTTTTTATTATGCCTAACATCGGACCAATCGGGTTAACATAACCTCTTTTATACTGCAATGTGCTCTAAAGAATTTTGATTTGTTTTATGATTACGTAATTATGCAATGCATTTACATACGTACGTACGTGCATACTTGCAGTGATCACCGAAAAATCATATAATAAAAATTTTCATTTAAGAGAGGCTAAACCATTTTTCGAATTGTTTAAACGAATCTATAAATAGCAAGGTTCGCTTAAGCTCAAAATCGTCTAAAATGGAAAAGATGCTGATCATTGCTGACGTTCATAGCTCAATTATTGATATTGGCATTAAGCTAACAAATATATCGTTGTGCACTGACCAAAAGACCTGGGTCTAATACAAAATACCCACAAAAACTTAAAAAGACCCGGGTATATTATACAGCAGAGAATCAGTGTCACAAGGAAAAAATATTTCAAGCATATACTAAAGATGGGCAACGAAACCTTTTTTTCGAAATCCGAAAGTTTCAGGTTTCGGATTATAATTTCCATCCGAAACCCGAAACCTCATCCGAAACCCGAAGCCCTATCCGATACACGTAACTGTTAAAACTTAATATTTATTCGTTCTAACCAATTATGATCAGGCTAATATGCTGGTAGCTATTTTGTGTATAATACGTATCGAGGTTTATAAATATGTTATTGATATAAACGTATCATACGTAAATTAAGCAATAAATATGAAATTTTTTTTATATATAGTAATAATAAATATAAAAGCGAATAAATAATTAGGATAAATATCATTGAAGTTAACCTTATTCTATAATCAAAATTTAATAAATATAATACGTATTTATTTTATTTATATTTAGGTTTTAGTTTATTTAAATAAATTTATAAATAATATTTATAAGCATTTTTGAATTTTAAATATTTAAACTTCACTGCAGGCGATTATCACTGCTCTATTATAAATTTTGAAAATTTTGAATATTTAAGGTTGGGTTTAAATTAGGTGGGTTAAAATTATGTGTAAAATTTTATGCCGAAAACTTCCACGTAGTACACAAAGGTTTTATTCTCAGTAAAATATTTTATCATCGAGTTTTACTATTTGTTTTGGGTACAAAAATCCTGTATTGTGATTGGTTGCATAGTTTCAGTTTCGAATTTTTTTAAAAAATCTAAAATTAGTTTCGATTAAAACCTTTCGGAAATTAGTTTTTGTAGGTTAGGTTCGTTTCGTTGCCCAACTTGGGAAACTTTAAGAACAGTTAGCCCAGTGATCGACAACCATTTGATAAGGGGAGGGCCAGAAAACACGTGTTTTTTATTTTGATAAAATTACCCCCCCCCCCCCTAGGTTTCTTATCTTCTCTATTTTTTATATATATAGACGTGTTTTTTGAAAAGACCCCTCCCCCCAAAAAAAACACGTGTTTTCTGGCCCTCCCCTAAGCATATCATGACGTCTTTGTTTACCAGAGTTAAATAAACTGGCTTCCCAAATTAACCATAAACTAGGCCGAATGATAGTCATATGATATTGTGATGATCACTGGGTTAACTCTTCTTAAATCTTCCCGCCCAACTATAGCATACACACATTCTGCACTTACAATAAACAGTCTAAAATAAAAAAAGCTATATTCAATTAATAGAGGTCTCGCGTTTTGCACGGGTACTTTGCAATGGGGATATTGAAAAAGGGATATTTTGATCGTTGGATTACGGTAATTTATTTGCGTTGTCTTCCGATAACTCTAATTTTGACATTGCCACTGTTTAATGGTCGTATTTTGAGAATGGCTAATCCATTTTTAATCATTTTGGATTAACATCAGGAAAAATTTTTTGGTATAAATCTGCGCAAATTTTAAACAAACTAATTATATAAGTAGCTGTGCGACATTGTCGCGCTACACCAGGAGCGGATGAATATAAACCTGATTTAGAAATATTGGATAAACCTCAATACAGAATAGTCATATTTGACGGTGTTGCTCAGCCATTTCATTTATCCGACACAACATAAGCCTAGAATTAGCATTTAATTAGCTATGTGATGTCGACTAACGAGTTGTCAATCCAATATTTAGATACATAAAAAATATCGGATGCACAATTAAACTCAGTATATCGATCTATATGTTTTGTGAAAAAAGACAGATTTCACTTCTAAGTTAACAATTGTACCTTATAAAATAATCTTGTTATTTCATATTTTTATACTATTTATGTTTTTTCTTTTACACTAATAACTTTTGAAGTATCTATCGACAAAATCAAACTCGAAATTTGATTGGTTGGTACTCACGTTATTACTACATAAGTTTAATGTTAAGATTCTTTTGCTACGCATTTAAAATTTAATTACTCTCATATATCTATTTTATTGAATTTATATTGAGTTATCATAACCCATTTAAAGATTTAAACTGAATTCACTTTCAAGATACGTTCGAACCCAATCATTGCTTAGATTTTTTTTTACATATTTTAATATAGTCTCTTAATAAATGGTATTTAAATTTCATTAAGAAAATGTAAATATTTTCTAATTAGATAGTATCTTGATTATGCTGTGAACCTTAATACTTAGATTTTAATTTAATAGCTTTTCTTTAAAAAATTTATAAGACAACATATTATTTAAAATAACAATTCTACCACCAACAATAGTAATAAAGGTAATTTTAATATTTATTATTTCAATATCTTTTTCTCTTTAGGTACGTACATACATGAAGATATATAACAATTGCTGATTCCTTTTATTTGATTTAATAATCTAAATATAAATATAAAATAAGCAATAAATTGATTATTTATAAGTAAATCAATATTACCTACCGTCGGGAACTTCAACATATTTAATGCGTTGACTGGGTTGACTTGCTAAAATATATACATATGTAAATACACTAAACTACAGTTTGAATTCAAATGAGAAATAAATATCATTCATTACCTGCATTTACTATATTGACAAATTCAGAAATTTTTAAAATTGATAACATATTACTAATTTCTTAAAAATATAAATAAAGATCATTACCTGGTTTAGGAAGTTTGGAAAGATTCAAAAATCGACTTGTATAAATAGCTTGTGGATGTGTCTGATATTTGAATTGTGCCGATTTGATTTGATTATACGTTAAGAAATTTCTGTCTATGTCTTTAATATTTTTAACTTGCTTAGATAATTCTGTCTCTTCATTTTTCAAATCATAAAAAAATTGGTCCAGCGTATTAGTTAATTCTTCGGCAGTTGGTCGGTTTTGAGGTTCTGCGTCTATGCATTTGTTCATCAAATCCAAAACTAGTTGAGGAACTTCGCATCTGATTTCAGGTCTATAACCTAGACAAATACGTGTTACCAGCTCTTCGTTGTGTGGTATATCATGATATGGAGGATATCCAGTAAAAACTTCCGACATAATTATTCCGAAAGAATAAATATCTGATTTTTGAGT